TTTAAATATCACTGTTTTACTTCATTTTAACTAAATTGTATTTTTTAATGAAAATGATTTTATAAAATAAAAGTTCAAGATCAAACTTATTTTATTAAGTAAAGTTTTTCATTGAGCTGATTTGGAGAATTACTTTTATTTACATTTGTCATTCCTTTTTAAATGTCTCTTTTTAAAATAAAAAATATATTTTTCAAAGTGTTATTTCAAAATTTAAAGTAATATTAATTATGATTTTGTCAAAATTATCTTTAGATATTTATTACATAAAAAAAAAGTCAAATAAATTAATAAAAATTAAGAACATATACAAAATATTTATTAGTTTTCATGTTATGCCTAAAAAGTAAAAAAAATAAAAAAATACTTAAAGAACAAATTGAGTAATTCATATGAACTAAACTTAAGATGTAGATTAAAAGATTCATGTTTCAATTTTTATAAATTAAATTAACAATAAATAATCAAAATATGAGTTTCTTAATTTTGATTCAACACCTTTTTTTAATTCATATTTGATTTGATTCAACAATCTAAATAAGATAATATAAGAATCCACGGTTTGAACCACCATATTACAATGATCCGAATAAACTTGAACGTTAACTTTGTAAGTAAAATCACTATGTTGCATTTTATGGATGAAAAAAATGATTATGAGGTCACTAAATATTTCTATTCAGGTTCTTTTAACAAAGATTAATCATCTATAAAAATTGATAAATATTCTGGATCAAGAATATATAGTCAAATATGTTTAGTGGTTTGGTTATGAAAGTTTTTTATTTAATATTTGGAATTTGATTTTGAATCATTATATTTTTTATTTTTAAAAATAATTTTTTGAGTATATGTTAATCCCTAATTTTTTTTTAATCTTTAACTTACAAGTTAAATGTATTTGGTCTAAAATTTAGAACAAAAACATTTACTTTTCAAACTGCTTTCAATTATATATATATATATATATATATATATATATATATATATATATATATATATATATATATATATATATATATATATATATATATATATATATATATATATATATATATATATATATATATATATATATATATATATATATATTCTTGAAGTTTTAAATTAGCACGATGAAATGGAGAAGAATTGAAAACTCAATGAAGAAGAGAAAATTGAAAAAAGCTTTCATTTAATTTAGTTTACAAGTTAGTTACACTTGATATTTATAAGTAGTTATAGTCTATAACTGATCCTAACAACATTCTCTAATAACGAATCATAAGGGTGTGATATGCTGTATGTGGTGTAGCTCATCAATGACATAACTTTGATTACATGTGTTCTAAGCCATAGATTATTGATAGCTTTAATACCCTCCCGCAAGCTTAGCATGATATATGTCATGTATGTTAAGATTGAAAATGAAGGAATTGAACCTCTTTGGTGGCAAAGGTTTGGTGAAGAAGTCAACAACTTGAGCTTGCGATTTAATAGGAAGCAATTTGAAGATACATTGCATGAGTTTTTCTCGTACAAAGTGGCAATCAATCTCGAGGGGCTTTGTACGCTCATGAAAGACTGGATTGGCTACAATGTGAATTGCGCTCTGGTTGTCACAGTAAATCACATGTGATTTGTTTCATTGAAAACCCAAGTCGCGTAATAAGTAAATTAACCAATGGAGTTTACAACTAGCAAAAGATAATGCCCGATATTCTACTTCTGAAGCGCTTTTCGAAATTGTTTGTTGTTTCTTCGCTCTACAAGAAACCAATGATGATCCAATGAAAATACAATAACTTGAGATTGACCTAGAAGTGTCAATGCACCCTGCCTAATCTGAATCCGTGAAGCCAAGTATTTGAGGGATATAATCTCTTATGAATAGGAGACCCCTTCTAGGTGACCCTTTCAGGTATTTCACAACTCGACATGCCATATAATAATGTGTACCTGTTGGTTAGGATAGAACTTGACTGATTTGTTGTGTTACAAAGCTGATATCAGGCATGGTTGTCAAGTATAGCACTTTTCCTACTATCCTCCTATAGCGAACTATGTCTTCATATGATGCAGATGAATCTTGGTATAACTTCACACATGGATCAAGAGGAGTTTTGACAGGTTTACAACCAAGGATACTTGTATCTTTTAGGGATCCAAGTAGTAATTTCTTTATCATATGCTAATTCCAATTTTAGAATGTGCAACTTCTATACCTAAGAAGTATTTGAGCCTTCCAAGGTCCTTGAGTTTAAACTTATCATTAAGTGCAAATTTGATTCTCTCAACTTCTCCTAGATTGTTGCCATATAGTATCACATAATCCACATACACTAAAAGTGCAGTGAAACAAGTTCCTTTATGAAGAATGGACAAGAAATGATCAAAAGTGGATTGTTTATATCCTTGAGAGATTAGGAAACTTGTTAACCTCTCATACCATTTTATACTAGCCCGTTCAATCCATAGAGAGTCTTTAGCAACTTTCACACTTGATTTGTTTTGGGACTTGTAACACCTTGAGGAAATGACATATACACTTCTTTATGTAAGTCTCCATGCAAGAAGGCATTGTTTACATCCAATTGATGTAAATTCCAAGAGTTTATGGATGCTAGAGCAAGTAGTGTTCTCACTGTGGTAGTTTTTGCAACTGGTGATAAAGTGTCAAAGAGATCAAGCCCCTCTACTTGATTATATCATTTGGTTACTAGTCTAGTCTTGTGTCTTTCAAATATCCCATTTGATTTGTGATTCACTTTATAAACCCACTTACTAACAATAAGTTTAACATTTGGTGGTGGATCAACAAAAATCCATGTCTTGTTGAGTTTCAAAGCATCCAGTTCAGAATTCATGGTCTTGATCTAACATTCAGTTTTCTTGCTTCCTTGTAACTTGTTGGTTCAATATTGGTAGTCAAAGAAAGGGTAAAATTTTGTTGTAAGGCAGATAATTTATTCAAGGAATGAAAATGCTCAATAGGATAAAGGATACATGAATATGTAGGATCAACTGATTGCTTTAAGAGACTGCATATATAATCAGATAGATGGCTTGGTTTATGAGTGGTTCTATTTGATCATATCAGGTTTTGTGTCTCAGTTGTTTATTTTTCATTAAGGTCATGAATCTGTGAATGTGTGAATTGATCATGATTGGACTGATCATCAAAATCATGTGTAATAGGTTTTGTTGATTGAATTTGATTAAAATTTTTGGAGTGAGGTTGACTATGGCTACTAATTGAATCAAGTAGGTCTTCTATATCATGGTGTGAGTTATTGTTTGAATAATATGTCATTATGTATCTTGGTTTTTATAGGGTAGAATATGGTCATGATAAGTAACATGTCCTAATATGAAAATAAATTTGGTATTCAAATTTAATAAAACCAATCCTTTGATATTTGGCTTGTAACCCAAGAAAATGCCTTTTATTTCTCAAGGGTCAAGCTTTATTCTATAGTTTTGAATAATGGGTGCATAATACAATAATCCAAAAACTTTAAATTCATTCAGATTAGGGTTAATTCTAAATTTAAGGTAAAAATGTGATATGTTATGAAGAGTAACATTGGAAATCTGGTCGATGAAGTATGTATCATGTGCGACAGTATAAGACCAAATTTTTTTAGGTAGTTTTGATTGAAATAACCAAGCTTTAACTACATTCAATATATGCTGATGTTTTCTTTCCATCCTCCCATTTTGTTTGGGAGTTTCAACACAACTTGTTTTTTGTTCAATGCCTTTGGAAGCATAGAATTCAGGCATGAGAAACTCGGGTCCATTATATGTCCTAACATTTTTGACATTGCAATTATGATGTTTTTAAATCATTAAAATGAACCTCTTAACAAGGGTGGTCACTTTAGATTTAGATTTTCTTAGAATGATCCAAGTGAATCGGATATGGTCATCAAGTGTAGCGATAAAATACTTGTGACCATGAATTTATGGAATAGACAAAGGACCCCATATCAAAGTGAAAAAGCTCATAACATTGTGCAATTATGTGATTACTAATTTGAAAAGAAAGTTTTTTATGCCTTGCGTAGTTACAAATATCACATGCATCGTGGGTATATATAGTTACAAAAGGAAATAGATGATGTAAAGCAAGTAATCTATTATTGAAAATATTCCCCAATCTAAAATGCCAAATGGCTTGTTTGAGAATAAAAGTAAAGTCATGGGAGCTTGTGAATGGGATGATTCTACGGTGCCTTGAGGCGTGTCTTATGAAGGAAGGAAATACAATATATCTATCAATTAAGCTGAACCAATCTTCCTCAAACTCCTCTCTTCCTGAATAAAAAATTTGTCATTGTCAAAAGTTATTGTGCAATTAAGATCAAGACATATTCTAGGAACTGATTGAAAAAATCAAATTGAAATCAGGCACAAATAGAACTTTATGAGAAATTAATTAAGATGATAATTTTGCAGTGCCTGCATGCTTAGCTACAATCATTTGTCCATTAGGTAATCTGATGTTAACTGGCACAATTGTCTGATATGGTCACTAGCACCAAAATCAACTATCCATGAACCAAAATTTGAATGATTAAGAGAGTATGAGATTCGAGAAATACCTGAAGTAATGTGGTTATTATTATGAGATAAATTATTCACTTTGATGGTAGAAGCATTATGAGTCGAGTTTCATGCATACAGTAAATGCACCAGTTGGTCATATTGCTCTCGAGTGAATTAGTTAGTATTTCCTCAACAACTTTTAGATTCATTAGTATCCTCCCTTTCTTCATTCAACTTAACACAAGATTTGTTATCTAGTAAAGAATTTTTTCCATAATGTGGAGGAAATTCATTCTTTTTATGGCAAGTGTCAACTGTGTGGCCATTTCTTCCACGATGTGTACAAAATCTCTTGTTCCCAGAAGTGAATGAAAAACCATTAACACGACCTCTTGCTTGAGATCGTGATAATCAGCTGCATTAATGAGGGCCTTAGATTCATCTGATACTGAATTCTTGAATTGGTGTTCATGTTGCATAAAGGTGTGGTATGATGCATGTGGTGTAGCTCATCAATGGTGGACTATTTCGTCACTTACTTATATTTGCTATATTATTCCAACATGTTCCCCCACTTGTATCGCTATCGACATCTTGCAACGGAATATCACTTCCTGAGCGTATTTCGATACAAGTCTCTTTTCGGTCCCTTTCTCGAATCAAAGGCTCTAATACCACTGTTGGGGGGAGATACTATGAACATTGATACACAGTGTAGGTCTAGACACCTTTGTGAGAGACACACCACTTATCCACCTAAAACCTTAAGGTGATAGGTGAGTGGGTTCTCCCACTTATATATGCTTAAGTCTCCACATTCTTATCCAATGTGAGACTATTTCCCCACTTACTCACACTTGCTATATTATTCCAACAAATTTAAGTATTAGTTTATCAATATTATATTTAACTATTTTGTAATAAGATATATATATATATATATATATATATATATATATATATATATATATATATATATATATATATATATATATATATATATATATATATATATATATATATATATATATATATATATATATATATATATATATATATATATATATATATATATATATATATATATATATATTAAAAATACTTTCAATCATATTATATTATATTGATTTTTTATAGTGCAAAAAATTCAACATAAATATATAATTAGATTTTGGGATTCAAATACGAAAAGAGGCGAAGTTAGATTCTCAACTTTCTTTATGTGATGAACATGTATTGAGTACAAAAAAAAAAAAGAAAATATTTGCATAATAAATACTACTATCTAGCCATATGTTATGAGCTAAAATTTATCTACGAATCCAGCACTAGTAATTTGCATATAGTATGATATTATACATGTTTGTTTTTACAGGGACAACAACAAGAACATGAGCTCCAATCGAATGTTTTTGAAACTCTTCAAAACCAAGACAATATTTTAGGTTCTACACCTGTGGTAAATACTCATTAATCTCTCACTAGTTCACTTTCCTAATTCAAATTTGATTATACATGAATAACGTTAATAAATAATTTATGTGGTTCAGTATGACTTGGATGGACTAGGACCAGAAATTGCACTTCAAAATCAAGTCCAAACCTCTGAGCTTATACCAACTTCCTCAAACTATACAAATAATGCTGTTCAAGATATTTCTATGTATCAATCTTCAGAGAGCTCTTGGATGCAGAATGTTTTTAATCCACAATCTGAAGTGTTAATGCATCCAAATTTCGACGAGCCACAAATGTTTACTACTAATCCAGCCATGAATTATCAAATCGCGCAAAGTTCCAGGTGATTTATGACTTTGTTTTTAACAAATATTCAATATATGTGGTTAACTATATATTGATTTTGAAAAGAGACAAAATTGTGAATCTCATATAATGGATCTCATTTGAGTGACTCACAATTTTGTATAATATTTTTGTTGAACAAAAATATAATTCAAGTAGGGTGTAACCGGTTATAGGTTTTGGCATAATTGGTTATTATTGGAATTTGATAATAATTTAAATGTATTTTGAAAACTTTTAAATTCGTTTTGTACAAAACAACTTATTTGAAAAATATTTCTGAAAGCTGCAAAGATTATGTGTTTCGAAAGAGAAATCAGTTTCTCAGTTTGAGAAAACCGGTTTCTGTCACGTGTTTTTGACTTTCTGTGTGTTTTTCTATCGGAGAAACCGGTTTCTCTGTTTTAAGAAACTGATTTCTGGTGCGATAATTTTGTATTTTTAGGCTGTTTTGAGACAATGGTCTTATGAGTGTTTTATATCTATCCTATATAAACTCTTGTAATGTGAAGTTAGTTAATGCTATTTTGATATTTTCTCCTCAATTACTCTCTCTCTCTCTCTCTCTCTCTCTCTCTCTCTCTCTCTCTCTCTCTCTCTCTCTCTCTCTCTCTCTCTCTCTCTCTCTCTCTCTCTCTCTCTCTCTCTCTCTCTCTCTCTCTCTCTCTCTCTCTCTCTTATAATCTCCAATTCCTCTCTGAACTTCATCTTCTCCAATTAACCACTTTCACCAATTTAATTTTTGTGTATGTTCCAACAGTTATCACACTGGTATGTAACAAAACAATCAGGACAATAGCGCTTGTAATCGGTTATAGGTTTGGTGTAATTGGTTACCACCCTCCCATAATCAGATAGAATAAGACAATGGTGTTTGTAATCGGTTACAGATTTTATGTAACCAATTACATGTTTGGAAAATTTGTTTTATCATTTAATTGGTTAGATGTATAGTTATGTATTAATATATAAGTACTCTTATTTGAGTTGTTAATAATACCTCTATTTTCATTCAATTTTCTCTAATTCACTCTCTCACACACTTGTTCATTATTATTGTGATTGAGTTTTAATTGAACATTTGGCATAAAGAATATGGTTCTTTGATCAAATACTCAGTGCACAAAAATTCTTTTCATATACAATGAATGTATCCCTGCAAATTTTTCAATTCTTGATGCAAAGAATTATGACAAGTGGTGCAAAAAGATAAATATGTTGTTTGGTTATCCAGCTTTCTTGAAGTGATCAAGAATGGTATTAATCCACTTGTAGAAGGTGCAATGGTTGCACAAAGGACTGCGAACAAGGAAAAGAAGACAAAAGATTTCAAAGGTTTGTATCTCATTCATCAATGAGTTGATGCTGATAACTTTGAGAAAGTTGGTGACTGCACATCCTTAAAGCAAGCTTGGGAAATTCTTGAGAAAAATTATGCAAGAGCTGATAAGAAAAGGTGGCGAGGTTACAAACTCACAAGAGGCGACTGAAATTAATTTAGATGGAAGAGAAGGAAACCATTAGTGAGTTTACTACAAGAATCACAATATTGGTGAATCAAGTGAAAGCTTGTGGAGAGACAATCACAGAGTAGTATGTGATTGGTAAAATCTTGAGATTGTTAACATCATGATTCTATAACGTAGTGGTTTCTATTGAAAAGTCAAAGGATCTTTTAACCATGAGTAAAGAAGAGTTGCAAATTTCTCTCAAGACTCATGAACATAGAATGCAGGAGAGGAATGTTGACAAAGCAAAGGTTGAAATTGTTTTTCAGACCATTTTCGCTTGAAAATGTAAGAAAGCGAAAGGAAAGTGGTCCATGAATAGAGGTACAAGAAACTATCACAACAATGGTGGAAAGGACTCCCAAAATTCCCACAATTCAATTTTCTTAAAGGGTCAAAGCAACAACAGCAAAAGTGGTGGATTAAGCAATTACAATGGTGGCAACAATAGAGGAAAAGGAGGAAGAAGGAAAGATGACAAGAGCAATGTGCAATGCTACAATTTTAAAATGCTTAGACATTTTTCTCGTGAATGTAATGCCAACAAGAATGATTCACAAGAAGTTAAAGCAAAGTTTACAAGACAAGAAGATGATGAGAGCACACTGTTGATGGTGATTACTGAAGTATAAAACAACACAGGAAAAGGCAGTTGTAACTGGATACAAGCAGAGCGTAACTGGTTATTGTTGGTTGAAAATATGACGGTGACTAAGCGAGAAGATGTGTAATGCAGCGATCAATGGTACCTTGATCCCGAGTGTTTAATTCACATAACGGGAAGGAAGGATTGTTTTGTTAAAATCAATCAAGTGATGAAAAACAAGGTGAAATTCGCGGATGACAACACACTCACCGTAAAGGGGATGGGTGATGTTTCAATCAAGCGAAAGAATGTTAAGCATTGTTTGATTAAATATATTTTGTATATTCTTGGAATCAAGTGCAATCTTTTAAGCATTGGTCAATTTCTTAAAAGAAATTACAAGATTCACATGGAAAACAAAGTAATGAAAGTTATGAATGCAAGTGGGAGATTGATCCTAAAGGCCCTTATGGATCAAAATAGAATGTTAAAGGTTGTACCGAAAGTAATGGAGCATAGGTGTCTTGCAACTGCAGCTAGTAGGGAAGAATGGATATGACACTATAGGATTGGGCACTTGAATTTCATAGATCTCAATGCTATGCATAAAAACAACATGGTTACAAGGCTACCATTGATCAATATGACACTGAAATATGTGAAAAGTGTGTGCAGGCCAAGCAACACAGAGGCATCTGTAGCAAAGATGCAAGTTTCTGAACCAAGTGTCATCTTAAGGTGATGTATTAGGAAGTTTGTGGATTGATGCAAGTGGACACAATGGTAAGTAATTGGTATTTTGTCACTTTCATTGAAGATTATAGTAGATAACTATGGACTTACTTGATCAAAAGAAAAGATGAGGTATTTGAAGTGTTCAAGAAATTTAAATCCATGGTAGAAAGACAAAGTGATCACAAAATCAAAACTCTAAAAACAGATGGTGGAGGTGAATAGTCTCAAATAATTTTGGAAATTTTTTTGATCAAGAGGGAATTGTTCATGAGGTAGTGCCACTGTATATGCCTCAACAAAATGGATTTGTTGAGAGAAAAAATTGATCAATTATGAACATGATAAGAAGAATGTCGAAAGGGAAGCGCATGCCAAAAGGATTATGGGGAGAAATTGTGTCCACAGTTGCATATTTGTTGAATAAGTGTCCAACAAAGAAGCTGAAAAAATATTACACCCAAAGAATCATAGTCCAGATTCAAACCAAATATGAGTTACTTAAGGGTGCTTGGTTCAGGGGCGTATAAATATTTTAGATCACCTTAGAAAGAAGCTAGACGACAAAGGAGAACAAATGATACTTATTAGGTATCTCTCAATGGATGGATACAAACTCTATGATGCAGTTAATAAGAGAATCATAATCATTAGGGACATGATTTTTTATGAATTAAAGGACTGGAAGCATGCAGTAACCGATTACTAGACTGATGTAACTGGTTACAACAATGCTGGAACTTTTCTTTCAGTGTTTAGAGGGTCAGAAATTGTAATTGGTGAAGTCTAAGCTGAAGATAATGAGATAAGATCAAGAAGGAAAAGATGCATTCCTGCGAGATTGTAAGATTGTGATTTGTTCTCGGATAATAAAGTAAACAACAATGGTGATCTTGTCCATTTTTTGCTCATGGATGAATTCTAACTGGTGAAAATTGAGGAGACCTTGAGTGATCCAAAATGGATATGTGCAATGAAGGAGGAGATGGAGTCAATTGAGAAAAATAAGACATGGGAACGAGTTGATCTACCTCAAGAAAAGAAGTCAATTGGTGTAAGATGGGTGTACAAAGTGAAGGCAAATCTCAAAGATCAAATAATCAAGCATAAAGCTAGATTGGTTTCAAAAGGATTTTTGCAAAGAGAATGCATAGACATTGAAGATATTAAACCAACACAATATATGAGGTTGATTGGATCATTGCGGTACTTGTGCAATACCAGACCAGACTTGGCATATAATATAGGCATAGTGAGCACATTTATGGGGAGGTCAAAGGCATCACACTTGAAAGCAGTCAATAAAATTTAAAGACACGTTAAAGGTTCAGTTGGTTGCGACATTTTATTTTCTACAACAGATAAAGGTAGAAGATGTAAATTGCACAGTTATATTGACTCAAACTGGTGTGGAGATAAATATTTTAGAAAAGCCACTACTGTATACATCTTTATGTATGGAAAAACACCAATATCGTAGTGTTATAAGAAGGAACTAGTTGTTGCGCTCTCTTCTTGCAAGACTGAGTACATTGCAACATCTATGTGAATGTGTGTGTCAATATGTATGGTTTATGAATTTGATGAAGAAATTATGCACCAAAGAGTATGAAGTTGTGACATTAATGATAGATAATGTTTCTGCTATAAACCATGCAAAAAATCTCATTGCACATGGGAGAAGCATGCATATAGAGATGAGATTTCACTACTTTATAGAGCTTGTGAGTGAAGGAAAATTGAAGTTGGGGTATTGCAAAATAGATGAGCAAGTGACTAATTGCTAACCAAATGAGTCATAATTGAAGTGTTCAAGAGGTTGAAGAAGCACATTAGTGTGAAAGACTTGGAAGACATGAGTTAAGGTGGTGTGTTAAAGAAAAATATAACCCAAGTAGGGTGTAACTGGTTACAGGTTTGATGTAACCGGTTACCTCATTGGTCAGTAGCAAAAGAATCAAGATTGTGGCGCTTGTAACTGGTTACAACTTTGGTGTAACTAGTTACCACCTGTCCAGAATCCACCCGAGTTAAGACAATGGTGTTTGTAATCAGTTATAGATTTTATGTAACTGGTTACATGCTTGAACAATTTTTTATCTCACTTAGTTGGTTAGATGTACAATTGTGTATTGATGTATAAATACCCCAACTTAGGCTGTTAACAATTACGCGTCTCTCTCTCTCTCTCTCTCTCTCTCTCTCTCTCTCTCTATATATATATATATATATATATATATATATATATATATATATATATATATATATATATATATATATATATATATATATATATATATATATATATATATATATATATATATATATATATATTGTTCATCATTATTGTGATTGGGTTTTTTTCCAACAATATTTATTTATTAATATAATGATACTCAATTTACTTTTTTAAATTTATAGGTTGGAGCACCAGAACCAAAACTACAATCAAATTTCTGCTCCTAGCGTTTGGGGTTCACAATATGCTCCCAACTACATCATGTATGATTCTTTCACTTCTTATAACAATCACTTTATTACTATTTAGTCACTGCATAAAGAAATATCTTCATTTTTTCTTCATTTTATAGAATTGTTTTTCAACTCTTCAAATGCATTAACTATTTTATTTATAAACATACTCTTTAATTAAGTTGTCTCTTCTGCTACAATTGGTAATAAATACTATGTTGTAAATATAAATGTATAAAATAATATGGAATGTCAACAAATTTAATACTATTTCTAGTATTTTTTACTCTTAAAATTTAGTCATATTTTAGAGAAGAAGGTAGTAATTATTAATCAGCTAGCAAATAATACATGAAAATATTTATTGATTATTATATGTATTCAGGCCATCGCAAAATCAGTTGTTAACTACACCAATGTATCAAGCAACTCAGAATCCCCAAATGTTGGTTGATTCTTATTCACAATTTCAACTTCCAATACAACAAACTTTTTCATCAGAAGATGTCAATACTAGGTATCAAAATATCTCTCTGTTCAACTTAGTTGATTCTTATGTGCCATTGTGTTTATTTATTTTGTAGTTATTTTTCTAAATTATCATGGTACTTCTGGTGCCTTATGTATGATCCACTATTGTAGGCACTCTGCATTAATGCATGCTCAAGAGAATAACTCCCAAGTCATAGTCCCTAGTGGTAACATACAACATACTGCTTTTGACCCAATGCAACAAATTTCAATGTAAGCAATCTTTACTAATTACTTGTCGTAACAAAATATAACAAGAAAGTACATGTATCTAATTTATATTTAGAGAAAGTTATTTCTACATGATACTATTTAATAATATTAATTCAATTTTTTATAATAAAGGTTCCAGAATAGGCCAGATGAAGTGATTTACAATGGAGAGATGAGTAACATTAATTTCCAACCACAAACTGCTCCATTTCATGAGTCAATAACTTCGTCTTTTGGCATTCCAACTTCAGAGGAACTTAGCATAAGAATTTTTGGTCATGTAGGCATAGTGCCTAGTGAAGAAAATAGTTTAAGGTAAATTTTTATTTTATTTTATACGTTTTTTTAAAATTTTATATTAAAATAAAATTTACTTATTCAGGAAAGCAAAAATAGATGAGCAAAGAAGGAATGATGTAGGGACTCAAACTGTTTCATGGGATCAATTTCTTGGGAATACTCAAGGTTCCTCATGGAATGAAGTTCATGCAAATGCTCAAATTGTTTCAATGGATGAAGTTCCTGCAAATACTCAAAATGTTTCGTGGGATGAAATTCTCGCAAATAGTCAAACTATTTTAAGGAATGAAGTACCCGCTAATCAATGTGACAAAGGAAAACTTCCCGAATCGCCATCAACAGGGTAATTAACTTGATTTTAGATATCTATTTAACACCTCAATTTTTTTAGTTCTTGTGACTCGCAATTTTGCAACTTTATAGATACATTCAACAAATTGATTTAATTTTATGATGTTCTAGGTTGGAGCACCGCATCAAAAGTCAACTGTATTATTCTAATATTAGTGAATCACATGATTCCCCCAAGAATATGTTGTAACATATGTACCTCAATTTCTTATAGAAATATTCATGAATGAGTTAACACACAAATGCGTGACATTATTTTTTTAATTAATATATTTTCAGGCCACCCCAAATGCAGCAAGTGGTTCCAGTTGTTACAACAGATGGAGTTCAAGCAAATCAATGTGATAAAGGAAAGCTTCCACAATCTCCATCAACTAGGTAATTAATTAACTAAAACATATCAAATTAGTGAAAATGAATGTGTTAAAAATATTATAATTTAACAAATATCAATAACACATTCTTTAACACATTTTATTGCATAAATAAATTATACATGTATAGAATACATTCTGGGACAATTCAGAGAATTACATACCTGAGACCTAATCGAACGGTTACAATCGTTCCTTCTTCTTCTTCTTCTTCACCTGCAACTCAACAAAATCAAAAAGAAGTTTTGACTAATCAAAAGGTTGATGATTCTATAAAACAGGTTAGTAAAGATCATCCCCTATTTTTTTTATTGCAGAAGATAATATTTTTCTAATTCACCTAAGAAGTTCTCATTTTATTTGCACAATTGTAAAAATATTTTTTTTTATTTAAAGATAAACATTTTTGAAGCTAGGCACTTATAAATAACTAAATGTTTTATGTATTAGGGAGAAAAAGATAATGATCGTGTTCTACCTAGACGCCGTGGTCGTCCTCCAAAACGACGTGAGCAAGGAGAAAATAATTTGTCCAAACTCACAAAGGTAGGTAGATTGTTAATTTAAATTATAGATTATTATCAAAATTGAGAAATTTTGTTTGATCATATAGTTAAATTTGCAAAAAAATTTAACCATGAATTAAATTAAAATTCAATTGAATTTATTATATATTTGAATGTAATTAATATAGTATCAAATATTTGTAGAAAAAATGAGTTTATTAAGGCTCTTATGCTAGGTTCATTTGTTTCGTAGAAACAAAAGATTGGAAGTAGTTCTGTTGTATCAGGAAATATCGAAACAACTTCTACACCTCAACAACAACAAATGACCCTTGAAAATGTGTCAAATGTTCAAACCAGGTAATTTTTATTACCATGTATTTTATCTCTAACTTTCATTATTCAATGTATAAAAGATTGTTAACTTATCACAATGTTGGATTTTAGGAGAAAATATGAAAATGCTATTTTTCATAAGAATGATGATGGATCCTTGGACCCCCATATTAGAAAGTTCAAAAATCTATTCGGTAATTACGATTCTCCAAATACTATTAGATCATTTTCTAGTACTAGATTATCTTCCTATTTAGAAATTTAAATATTCATAGTAAGATTACTATGTTAGATTGAATAATAGTATTAGATTATATTATTTGTGTTAATAAAACCTTGAATTTTTTACAAAGATTACAAATTTTTCTCATGCAGAAGAGTAATGTATCAAGCCAACTCGAAGTGGAAATTGCAAGTGCTTGAAATTTGTATGAGATCGGATGAGTTAATTAATAACTTTAATCAGACATTAATATTCACATTATTCTCTAAATATGTTGCTACATTATTCATGTTTTATGTTGTTTTTATTAGTGTGAAAATAGTACTATTTGTCCTATCAATCTTGACATTATTTTCATAAGAGAAAGAAAAAACTTTAATTAGACATTAATATTAATATTTGTTTTATCTTACATTTGGGTTAGTTTTTTGGTTTGGTTCTTTGTTGAGCTATTTGGTCTCATAGAAATGATTTTTTTTTAAGGGAGGTTTCTTGTGCGAGATCGATGTTGTTGGCATGGCTAAGTTCTTAGCTTTTGAGTGGTTCATTTCTTACACTAAAGTTGCAATTAGTTTTGTTTCAGTCGGATTGGTTTGTCAATCACGGCTTGTGTATTGAGGTTATTTAGAGGATTGGGTTTGTGGTGGGTGTGTTGGTTGTTTTTTGTTGGTCCATTTTCTTGTTTTTTCGTTGTGTCCTTGGATTTGACATCACTTGTGCTATTTGATGAACTCCCTTTTACTTATAAAAAAAATCATGTGATTATTTGTTACACCTTACTTTTAATATTTAAAAAATAAATGTAAAAAAAATTTCAAATCCACCTTCAAATACATAATTTAATTAATTAACGTATACGTTTGTTGTTCACTTTCGAAAATAAAATAATTGAATATTATACTCTATTTTTTTCATAAGTTCTTAGATTAAAATTGATAGAGTACATATAATGTATTATCTATGTTTTTTTTAGGAAATATCTCTTCTTCTTTTTTTTTATAAATATTTTTATCTTATTTACCCAATATTTATGTGTCTTGAAAATAATTGTCACTATACAATATTACTAAACATTTATTAATTTTTCTACTAATATAATTGTACATATTATATCTAAACTTATATAATTATCTTACTAACTATAATTGATTAAAAATATTTTAGTCATAAGACATTATATTGTCATTCATATAAAATTAATTAACTAAAGTTTTCACATTATTCTTTTGATATTATTAATATTATGACATGAAATTGTCAAAGCTATGTGAAGAAATATTTCTCCATATAATTTGATTTTGATAAAGACAGTCCATATCAAAGAAGAAGAAAAAAGAAGCTTAACTATCTTATGAGTATTCAAGGAAAATAGTTAGTTATAAGATAATCAATGGAAATTAAGGTGTAAGATCAGTTCAAGGTATGATTTACAATTCAATCTATAATACCTTTAAGAATGATCATAAAAACTTCTTCTACTTCATTTTAGTTCTCTCATATTCATACCTCACAAAAAGATTTAAAAAACTGCTTTTTTATGCATTAAAGCAAAGTTTTTAGTCAAGTCTTTGTAGTAATCGATTACTACATAGTAGTAAACGATTACCATGCTTGAAAGTTCAAAAAATAAAGTTGTTGAGACTTGGTAATCGATTAATGCTTATTGGTAATCGATTACCACACGAAACATTACATCTTTTCATTAAACATTGATACTGTTTTGGAGTATAAAGCTTCGTGAAACTTCTCCTTTCATATACACATTTTCATAAGGGTTTCAAAACATGTATTTAAGATTTTTTACATCAGATTAGAACTTCACCTTTTTCATTAACAATTTTTTATATCAATTCAAACATCTTTCAAGTATTCATTCTTAAAATTTTGAAACTTTATGAAACTTCATATCATTCAAAGATTACTCAAAATTTTCTTAGCATTTGAGGTTTATTAGTTTGAATTGTATTCTTAAGAAAGAGAAGACAGATTTTAGAAGTTGATGTTCTACTCAACATCTAAGATACTCTAAAATGTCTTATCATTTTATTGTTACTTTTTCACAAGGTGTGGTGATAAATAGGTTTAGGAGAAACTATGTTTCAATAACAAGTTACAATGACAAATCTCATCTACTTGTGCAGCAGAACCATCGAAAAGATGATTTAGCTAGCAATATCTTGCAACAAAAAAGTAATATTTTTTAGTAGTCGCAGTAAAATATGAGTTAACAGGTAATAGCATTTTGGGTTAAATACACAATACTCCTCTGCAATGTAAGCGATGTTCGCTTTAGCCCCCTGTAAAATATTTTTTTAATCCCCCTCGTAATACCCAGATTCCGTCAGTTAGGCCCCCGATTGCCAAATTTCACCAAAGATTCTCTCATTTTGCCAGTATGGACTTGCTACTTTGACACCATGACATTAATTTTAATTTTGTTTTAATATACTACATGTTAATATTTATACCCCCTGTAATAGTTAGGGTTATCATTCCCAAAATTTCCAGATTCAGCTCAGGTGAATGAGGACGACGACAGTGATTGCAGTTGCAGATGAAGAGGAAGTCGATGACATTAAAGCTTCCATGTCTAGGGTAAGTGATTTTGACCCTTCTTCTATTCTAATGGGTGAAATGTATGAACTTTTGGTATGACATTGAATTATTTCTCAGTTTGCATACAACATTGAACTTTAATGTAATCCAAAATTTTATTCACAGGATATGCAACATTTTAGTGTTAGTTTTCACCATGGAGGTGAATTTATTATGGTCAAGCAAAACAAGATGATAATGAGGATGAAAGAGCTACTGCTCTTGTAGATGGAGTTGATGTAACTCTACCTATAAATGAAGAGGAAAGAGTTATTGGATTGTTTAGGAGACCCAATAAGAAAATTGAAGAAGATTATTATTATATTGATGAATTGGATAGTTCATATCCAGATGAATCTGGTGATAATTAAAGGCCCAGGATTGAGAGGTTTTGGAAAGAGCAACTCAATAAGGACTACAAGTTTAAGTGGGGTATGGAATTTAATTCTCTTGTTGATTTTAGAGAGAAAAATCGTGAATGGTCAGTGTTAAATGATAGGGAAATTACATTTGTGAAAAACGAGAGTTATAATGTAAGGGTATAATGAAAGGATAAATGTAGTTTTTTAATCATATGCTCAAAAGTGGGCCACGGGAACAAATATGCTATAAAAACATTGGTGGATACCCACACATGTGCTAGGATTTTGAATAATAGATCTGCAAGCTCAAAGTGGATGGCCAAAGTTGTAGTCAAGAGAATGCAAACATTTGAAACAGTTAGAATTCATGATATTATGAAAGATATCAGACAAAATTTATGTATTTCATCATCTATATCTGTTGGTTCTACCAATTTTAATTTGCCTATGTTAAATTTTGATTCAGGGATTAGTGGCTGTTTTTAAGGAAATGTTTGACAGGATTGAGCATAGGTTGTGTCTCAGACACCTGTATGCAAATTTCAAGAAAATATTTTGTGGTGGAACCCTTATAAGGGATATGACAATGGGAAATGCTAAGGTCAGTTACTACCAAGGTTGGGTCCGAAATATGAATGAACTGAAGAAGGTAGATGTCAAGGCTTGGGCTTGGTTAATGGCAGTTCCTACCAAATGTTGGTGTAAGCATGCATTTAGTTTTTATCTTAAATATGATGTTTTGATGAATAATATATCTAAGTCTTTTAATGCCACTATTTTAGTTTCTAGGGACAAGCCTATATTAACCATGTGTGAGTGGATTAGGAAGTATCTTATGAATAGATTAGAAACATCTGCCACCAAGATTGATAAGTGGCGGCATAGAGTTATGCCAATACCTAGGAAAATGTTAGATAATGAAGTGTTCAATAATGGTCATTGGTTACCAACATGGTCCATGCATGAACAATTATAGGTTACACATACTTCCAACACTCAAGAGTTTACTGTTAACATTGCTAAAAGGTCTTGTAGCTGTAACTTTTGGGAATTGGTAAGAAATCCATGTAGGCATGTAGTAGCTGCATTGAGTTATAGGAAACAAATCCCTGGTGATTTTGTTGATGAGTGTTATACAAGAGATAAGTATGCATTTTTTTATGGTTTTTCTGTGATTCCAATCAATGGACAGGATATGTGGCCAGATGTCCAAACTGATGAATTACCACCTCTAGCATATAAAAATGGACCTGGTAGGCCAAGGAAGGTTAGGATAAGAGAATTTGGTGAGGATGGTGCAAGGAGGAGAATACCTGAGGTGGCCTATAAGTGCACCAAATATGACAAGTTTGAACACAATGCTTTGTCATGCAAGAGCACGACACAAGACCCTGATACACTAAAAAAAGAAAGGTAAAATATGTTACTTTTTGCTATGTGTTTTTATATTGTGTGAACTTTGTTGTTTGAACACATGTTTCTTTTGAATGTAGATAAAACCCAAGGATGATGTTCAACAAACTAAAGTGCCAACTGGTGTGCTAACTATGCAAACTGATGTGCCAACTGGTGTGCAAACAAATGTGTTTCCAACTATGAAAATTGAGGATCAAACTGATGTTGTTGATGTACAAGCCAATGTATTTAAAGATAACAACATTGATGCAAGTCAAGGTGGCTCATGTGTGGTAGACACAACTCAAAATGGATCAAGTCAGGAACAAGCGAAGAAAAACAAGGGAAAAAACTTGTCATGAAGATGAGAAAGAGGAAGAGTGAAAGGATTAAGTTGAAGTGGTTTCAAAATCCAATTGTAGGCCAAAGTTCAACTGGTGATTAGCCAATAACCTTGACAGAACCTGAAGAAAGAACAACAGATGGACATGACTCTAAGTTTGGAGCGTCAACCAGGTCATTGAAGTTTTGGAAGAAGAAGAAATAACAACGTATTTAGTTATGATGCACATTATGTGCCACTTTTAATGTTGTGCTTGTAGTATGTTTTACTTTTGTTTAAATTGTGCTTGTACTGTTGACAAGTTTTATGTACCATTATGCATCAGACTTATGCACTATATGTTCCATTTTGTATCATACTTATGTACTATATGTGCTACTTGGTAATGAATTATACACTATGCCATATTGTATAAACAGACAGCTAAATTAGACAAAAATTTTCTCAACCCTAACTTTTCCATTAGATAAAATATTAATACAACATATTGATATAACATCTTCTACGATAACTAAAACACAAGATTACATTAACTTAATAACTATTGAAAACAACATCCATGACACGATAAGTGCAATCTTCAGCCAATAGCTTTTGTTATTCTCCATTACCAGATTTTTCTTCAACTTTTCAATCTTCTTTGAACCGTTTTCTACACCACACTTCTTGGCAACTTCATTCCTAACTTCCTTGATGATGTCCTTCGCATATTCCCTCAGATAAACCTTTTTCATTTCAGATTCACAATATTTTATGGGAATCATTTGACTCATTTGAACCTCACAAATCTCATCATCCCACACAAGAAACCCACAACCACTATGCAAATATGTTTAGTAGAAGTATAAAAGTTAATGTCAATAGAAATACGAAGAGAAACATGAGCAAACACTTACCACGAAATTTTAACATTTCCAGAATTTTCGATTTGGATTATCAATGGTGTTTGATACCCACATCTTTATTGGTTGATTATAGCCACATCTTGGCAAGCTCAGTCCACTTGAGATACCAAAAGATGATGTTTTGCTTCCACCCATGATTGAAACCACTGTGAACCAGCACGCGGAATAGTTGAAGAAAGGGGGAAAATATCATGATCTTGGAACCCTAGCGGATGGAATAGATGAAGAAAGGGGAACAAATTTGTGGCTTTGGAACCCTAATAATATACTTTTAATATAATAAAAGAGATTACTACCATAATTACTTTATTAATCAAACAAAATCAATTTAAACATGGATTTACAAGAACCTCAAGATAATTACAATTCCTAATCATTATATATATTTTAAATTTTTTTTACTACATGATAATTATTTTATTTCCACTTCTCCACTTTTTAGAACCTGTGATTCCAATAAAACTATTAAATTACAAACCTTGAAAACGTTTCATCCTTTCCACTTTCCCTACGGTCTACCAAATCTTTATAAGACATGGCCATTCATTTTCATCTACCAATTCAATTAACTTTTCCAATTTCTATGGTTCATTCATATATCATCTTTTCCTCTTTCATTTTCTCATCGTTCATTCATAGAGAAAAAGTCACACAATAACCTATTTATATTTCATATATGTTTTTTCTTCTCTCTATCTCGATCCCTTTTCTTCTCTTATGATACCACTTCTCTTAAACTTACCACTACCTTCTTCCCTTTCTCTTTATATCGCCCTACAAAATTCATTTTCTCTTCTTTTGTCTCTATTTTTTTATCCTCTTTCCATTATTTTCGTCCATGAAATTTTATTTGTATTTCTATCATATATCATAAGCGTGCGAAATTCCTTTGGTACCGAATGGAAAACTGAATACTGAAAGGTAAACTTTTTTATAATCCTTCTTAATCTTTGATTTGGGAAATTTGGGCTAAATTCCTGTTAATCTCTAAAACCAATAAGCTCTTCGATTTGGGAAATTAAGATTTTCTTTTTCATCACTACCATCCATTTTGTAGATACTTTTTATAACTTCATTATATTTGAATTTTCGAAATTGGTGTTATATTGTTTTTAATGACTACGAACGATATCATCAATTTGTGGTGTTGGGGATTATGATTTGTGAATCTTAGTTTTGTTTTAGAAGGGGAAATTTTAGTTATCTTATAGTTTATGATTATAATGTTATTATTAATACAAAGAAGTAATTAAGCAGTTGTTTTCATATTTTAATTAGTTTCATAATTTTTTTGTTTATTTTTTTATTCACAAAATATGTTTATTTTGAATATTCACTTATTTTCAAAGTATTATTACTTAGTCAATTGAAACATTCTACCTAAAATAACTAAAATGACTAAAATAAAATATTTTGAAAGTTAAGGAATCAAAATGACATGGAAAAAAAATTAAGGGACTAATCTAAACTCAAGAATATAGTTAAGGGACCAAAATGAATATTTTACCAATAAAATATTTATTTGTAATGTTTCATGTTATTTTCAAGATTATCGACTGACCCTACAAACCAACACGAGTCTTTTCAGAATGATTTGTCATCACTCACACACTTTCTGAGAAACTTCTCAGAAGGTCATCCATCCCAATACTACTCCAAATCAAATACGCTTAACTGTGGAGTTCTGATGGAACGGGCTACCGAAAAAAAGATGCATCTTAATGGTATAAGTAGTACCAATTAATCATTATAATCTTTTTATCAATCATGCAGTCCCATACCTGCATAGTCTCGGGATCCCTCTCATTCCGATGTGGCGACCACCTTTGCCCTCTTAGGCCTCAGTTGTTACATGCGGTGCAACCACTCCTCGCCTTTTTCGGCCTCGAGTATTACAATTTTTTCTACTGTATTATACATTTCCAACGGACCGAGACTACTTAACTTACATATCCCTATTTTGTTTAATATATTTATTAACCATCAATATATTATATTTATTTATTATTTATAACGATATTACGCGATCTGTGTTGCACGGGTAGATGACAATTTAATTATTTCATTTATTTTTACTACTAAAAATAAATCTCAATATTTATGCATAATATCAATTATAATATTTTATTATTATTTATAGTAAAGTAGAATACATTCATATATTTATTCATACTTTTTAATTAAATTATGAGTGTCGTGCGAACGCACGAGTCATTTACTAGTTTGAAGTTGAAAACAAATGTTAAGGTGTCACACGAAATCGATAGAAAATAAAAAATTAATGCCACAGTGTCAAAGTAACATGGCCACACTGACAAAATTGAGGAAATCTTTGATGGATTCTGACAATCAGAGATCTAACTGAC